GGCGGGGCCGGTGGGCGGGGCCGGGTAGCCTACTTGAGCCGAGCCCAGCCCAGCAGTCTGTGGAGCTGGTGGACGCGCGCCTTGGCACCAAACTTGTTTTGCAACGCTGACCGGACACCATGGCCGACAGCCGGGATCCAGCCAGCGACCAGATGAAGCTCTGGAAGGAGCAGCGGGCCGCGCAGGTGCGCCCGGTGCCCGGCGAGTAACGGCCCAGCACGCGCCGGGCCGACCTGAAGGGATCTTGCCTCTCTCCATGGGAGGCAGAAGGGGGCTCGGGGCAGTGGGGCGGCGGCGCGGGGCGGGGGGGCGGCGGCGGGGCGGCTGCGCGGCCGAGCTTGCGCTCGGGCCTCCTCGGCCGGAGGGACATTGCGTTCGTGGGAGGCGAGGTCGGGGTCCTGGGGCGTGAGGCCGCGGCACAGCGCGGGCGACGGACTCCGAATTTTGCACTTTGGCCAGCTGGGACAGAGGTCACAGGCAGAAGGCGGAATGGAGGCGCTTGGGACAGGCGGAGAGCTGCAGCTGCACGGAAGGAAGGGGGAGGAGTGAGAGCAGGCCACTTTGACCTTCCTGAAATAATACTAATGGCTTCTGTTTGTGGGGTGCCTGGGAGGGGAGACCGAGTGTGTCTTTCTGTCCCCAGACTGATAAGGTCTGCACTGCATTAAAGGACTAAATAAAGGAATTTTTACATCCATTATTCATTTGCACTTAAAAACATAAAGCCCAGCGTTTTTGAGGGGGGGGGGTTGCATGATTTAAAAGCCCATGTGACCTTAGGGGTTAATGAATACCCTGGGAGTGTGCCTGTGGGCCAGGAGCCCCCAGGGACAAGACATTAAAATTCCAGTCTAGTCTGAGAGGCCAGGTTCCCCTCCTCCCCAATCCCAGTGGGGAGGGCTCAGGGACCGCTTACCTGTAGAGCTGAAAGGGAGTGGCCTGAGGGGAGTGGGCTGTGTCTGGGGTGCATTGTCTCCAAGGGCTCCCTTGAGTTTGTGTTCTGAGAACACGGAGAACACGTGGTCCCAGCGGGCTTCAGGATGGCCTAGGGTCTAAAGACTCTCCCTAACCTGGAGGGCTGCTGTCTCAGGGCACGCTGGAGGGCTGAGAACCTGCTCTCCGATGGCTTTCCTGGGTCCTGCTGCAGAGGCTGCCGTCCTCTGAGGGCCTGGGAGATGGCGCCCTGGTCCTGTCTGTTACAGGCGGCTGGGAGTGGTGGGTTTTACACCAGTTCTTAATCAAAGCGAACCAGAGATGCTCAGAGCCTTAATCAAGGGCCTGCAGCCAGCTAGTGGCGGTCAAGATTAGAATCCAACTTCTTGGGCCGGGACGCTCCCTACCCAGGGCCGTGGTCCTGGTTCTCGCTGCAATTCTCCTGGCCTCTCGTGGGTTCAGAAAAAGGCAGACGATGTCATGAGATTTTTCAGAAAACAAAATCTGTTCGTTTCTGAAGGTCTCCCCTGCACTCTGAGCCTGGCTGGGCTTCCTCATTAGTGGCTTCCTTAACTCGGCTCAGTGAGTCTCTGCTCAGTCTCTGCCCAGTGGACCGGCCTGCAGCATCTGCCTTGTGAAATACCATCGACTGGGGCTGCGGGGGCCGGCGCGCTCGCTGGAGGCAGCTCAGCTCCTCACTACCCTGATCGGCAGTCATGGGCGTGCCCCCTTTCTCTGTGGAAGGACCAGGAGTGGGTTTGCTGGGTCCTGAGGGAAGCCAAGGTTTACGAGGCCCGTGGAGCCCTTGTCTCGTGTGGTTGCGCATTTACCGCCAGCAGGAGCTGTGGAAGTTCCAGCTGTTCTGTTCCCCCAGCTTCTAGTGTTGTCAGTCTTAGATTTTAGTCATTCTGGTGGGTATGAAGTGGAATCCTGTGTGTGCGTGTGTAATTGCCAGAGGGCATGTGCGTGTGTGTGCGTGTGTGCATGCCTATGTGTGTGTTTAATTGCCAGAGGGCATGTGTGCGTGTGTCTGTTTCATTGCCAGAGGGCGTGTGTGTGTGTGTGTGCACGCGCGCACGCGTGTTGGTGTGCATGGGGCATATGCGCTTCCCAGAGAGACAGACAGGAGCAGCACAAGCAGCCCCGGGGAGTGTGGTCGCACTGTCATCCCTTCATTTCCCACCCAGTCTGGATTTGAGCTATGCGTGCACGTGCTTCTGGTGTGTTTTTCAAGCCGTCAGAGCCAGGGTTTGAACCGCACTCAGTCATGTGTGGTCTGGTCCCTTAACCACCAGGCCGTGGTTTTAATCTGCATTGTTTCGGAAACTGATAATGTAGTGTCTCCACGTGCTGGGCGGCCTCTGGTATATGTTCTCTGAGTATTTGTTCGCATATTCTGTCCTTTAAAAAATTGGATGTTTGTCTTTCTATTGATGTGTAGCCCATATTTTAAGTTCAATCGTGTGGACTAAGTCTTCTAATAGCAGATGTGTAGTGGCATAAATGCATGAGAAATGTGTGTCTCTTAACGCCCAGTGGTTCGAGGCTGAAGGAGTTGGGTGGATGCTCTGCTCTCAGCAGTTACCGAGGCCCCGGGCAGAAGGCAGCCCCCACTGCTCACCCATGGCTTTCGATGTTGCCTGGGGCATCCCCACTAGGCCACAGAACAGTTGAGAGTGTGCAGGGGTCTGTGGGGTGAGGGGCCAGGGTCTCCGCCATTCACAGGCTTGGGCTGGGACTGCTGCAGGCCACCCGGCTGAAAGGGAGGCTGGAGGCTGGAGGCCGTGTGCTGCCTCCCTGACAAGGAAGCTGACCGTAACAGCCCTGTCTTGTGATGTGGCCACAGGCAGGCAGATATAATAAGATGTCTTTTTAACGTTTTGACATTAAAAGGCTCTCTTCGAAGATTATGACAGTAATGATTGTTTTGAAATGTTTTTCATAACTGTCTCCCCCTGGTGAACGCCTTCATGTAAGTGGGCAGCTCCTTATCAATACCCACCCTTCTGCTTCCCGTTTCCGTGGTCTCTAACTGGATGCTAAGAGCTTTACACCTTGGGGCTGCTGCAGGAGGGCACTGCTGTCCCCAGCAGGGCAGGCGCCGGCGGGTACCCACGTGGAGCCAGGGCCCGCTCGTGAAAGCAGTCGGCGGGCCTCTCCTGGTCAGAACTCCTGCTCACAAGTGTGTGGGAGCTTCATACATTTTGTAAGTGGGCACTGGATCAAATGCAGTGGGACGATGCAGATGCACTGAGCGATCTTTATCTTCCTCTCTAAAGACATCGGCGAGAGGTACATGCCCGCCTGGGGGCCTGGCTGGCCGAGGCTGCGACTGCAGTGGGAAGACCCCTCTCTCCCTGTGAGCGGGCCTTCGACGCCACACTGCAATCCCAGCTGGTAGGGGACTGGGGGATGGGAGAGACAGAATCGAATGTGTACACTTCCATTTCTGTTTCTTGGGCAATATCTAGATTATGTAATTTTTCTTCAGGTAAGGAAAGAAAGGCTGATTGTAAAATGTAAAATGAGCAAAATTTACTTTTGTCTATTTTCTCCTCATTTTTGTTAATTTTCTAAGTACTGCAACTTATAATACAAAGAATACAAGAATCTTCTACATTTGTGATAATTTTTTGAGCTGATTTTTCCAAACTCTTCCTTATATCCTCTGCCTTTCAAGACTGAACGTCTTGGCCAGACCGCAGAGCTCCCAGGCGGAAGGCAGTTTCAAGACAGAGAAATCTCTTTAGCAATAGCTATTACTCAGTGTAGTTTAGAGGTTTTATGTTCGATAGGATTGTTGTAAATGTTATTTATTGCAAACCAGTAGTAGGCCAGCCCGTGGCTTGGTGTTAGGGCAGCTGGATCACAGGGCTGACCCTGCCGTTCGCGTTCCGGACCTGCCTGGGAGACTCACTGAGAGCATGCGCGTGTGTGCCCAAAGCCCGAGAGGGGGCAGGAGTGGAGGAGAAGGGAAGGGCATGACTAGGCTCCTTGGGAAGAGCTTTCTTGCTCGCGCTCTCTCTCTGTCTGTCTCTCTGTCTCTGTCCCTCTGGTGAGTGCACACTTCCTTCAACAAATTAAAAAAAGGAAAACCAGTAGCAACGTTTGACCATTTCTGGTTGGAGATGTTGAAGTAGCAAAGTGAGCGACTTGGCAGTTCACCGAGAAGAAAGGAAGAATACGATCGCGGTGGTGTGTTTGCTCTGGGCGACGTAATACCACACGGCCTTGCTTGAAAAGAAAACATTCCCTTGGAGAAGGGAGTGATCAGTCAGTCTGTGCTCAGAGGCCAGCCGTGTCACCCTGAAATCTAGCATTTGTAATCTTCCTTGGCAAAGACAGCTTTTACTTATGACTATTTTTCCTGGAATTAAGACTACCCACTAGTTCTCTTTCCGGGACCCTCTGGAATCATCCTGAAATTTTGTCTCTTGCTCCTGCAGTTCTTCCCTCGCCCAGAAGGAGTCACTGTCCCTCCCTTCTGTGCTTGGTGGTCAACCCTGCGGCCTCGAAGACCAGTCGGTTGAGACAGCTTTCCTTATTGTGCCTTGTTGGTACCAACAGTGGCCCTTATGTTCTTGTCAAGAACAGAGTCTCCCTTTTTTCTTAGCCCTCTTGGGTTTCACCATCACTACGACACATCACTGGTGCTGTGTGAGTGCCGTATTGCTGAGTGCAGGCTGCCTTGGCCGTGGGTAGAGTGGACCGAGCACTCACTCTTGCCGGTCAAGCTTGGAGTACCGCTCTCGCGCCTGGTGCTGCAACACGGCTCTCCTGTGCATCCGGAGGTGAGGCTGCACGTACAGCCCAGAGACAGTACTCCCCCTAGAAGGAGATCGGAGCAATCCCCCCCTGGTTGGTGTTAGGGCAGCTGGATCACAGGGCTGACCCTGCCGTTCGCGTTCCGGACCTGCCTGGGAGACTCACTGAGAGCATGCGCGTGTGTGCCCAAAGCCCGAGAGGGGGCAGGAGTGGAGGAGAAGGGAAGGGCATGACTAGGCTCCTTGGGAAGAGCTTTCTTGCTCGCGCTCTCTCTCTGTCTGTCTCTCTGTCTCTGTCCCTCTGGTGAGTGCACACTTCCTTCAACAAATTAAAAAAAGGAAAACCAGTAGCAACGTTTGACCATTTCTGGTTGGAGATGTTGAAGTAGCAAAGTGAGCGACTTGGCAGTTCACCGAGAAGAAAGGAAGAATACGATCGCGGTGGTGTGTTTGCTCTGGGCGACGTAATACCACACGGCCTTGCTTGAAAAGAAAACATTCCCTTGGAGAAGGGAGTGATCAGTCAGTCTGTGCTCAGAGGCCAGCCGTGTCACCCTGAAATCTAGCATTTGTAATCTTCCTTGGCAAAGACAGCTTTTACTTATGACTATTTTTCCTGGAATTAAGACTACCCACTAGTTCTCTTTCCGGGACCCTCTGGAATCATCCTGAAATTTTGTCTCTTGCTCCTGCAGTTCTTCCCTCGCCCAGAAGGAGTCACTGTCCCTCCCTTCTGTGCTTGGTGGTCAACCCTGCGGCCTCGAAGACCAGTCGGTTGAGACAGCTTTCCTTATTGTGCCTTGTTGGTACCAACAGTGGCCCTTATGTTCTTGTCAAGAACAGAGTCTCCCTTTTTTCTTAGCCCTCTTGGGTTTCACCATCACTACGACACATCACTGGTGCTGTGTGAGTGCCGTATTGCTGAGTGCAGGCTGCCTTGGCCGTGGGTAGAGTGGACCGAGCACTCACTCTTGCCGGTCAAGCTTGGAGTACCGCTCTCGCGCCTGGTGCTGCAACACGGCTCTCCTGTGCATCCGGAGGTGAGGCTGCACGTACAGCCCAGAGACAGTACTCCCCCTAGAAGGAGATCGGAGCAATCCCCCCCTGGTATGGTGTAGGGAAACCCTCCGATGCTCAGACTATTTGGAGAGTAAAACAGAAAAGGCTTGTGATCAGGCTGAGTCCAGCATTCAGGCCTAAACGGGAGCTCGGCTTTCCGTGTGTTCTAGGACGCCTCCAGGAGGAGGCAGGGCTTGCCCCTGGCCCTCAGCCTGAGCGCTTGTGCTGCATGCCGGCTTCTGCTCCTCAGCCGAGTGCTGACGGAGGAGTATTTAGAACGGGCCAGCCTGCGTCAGCTCGCAGCACGGATGGCTGGCATCGTAACCACCCGGGGCACGTGTGCTGCGGACACGGCCCTCTCGGCCGTCTCTCCCTCCAGCCTCTCCTGTGGCTCTTTTTAGACAATGCTCTTTGATCCTTTATTAATTTTTATAAATAGCATGTGTTGAGAGAAAAATCTGTGACCAGTGAACTTTAAGAGTTGACCTGAACAAGAGCAGGTCGTGGCCAGCAGCACGCGGCAGCGGGCTCCGAGGGCCGTGCGAGAGGCGGCTCTCACTCACTTTCTCCTGGAGTGCGGCCTGCCCGCTGGCCCTCACCCTGGTCTCTCACAGGCACTCGCACCTGCCGGTTAAGTGCAGGCCATTAGGCAGCTTTTGCCGGGACGGTGGCAGGGCAGCCCGCGTCGTGTCATCAGGGGTTGAGAGGTTGCCCTCTGGGCTCCGGGGATGGAAGTCCGGGGCTGTGGCATCGCCAGCCCTCCAGCGACACGGGAAGAAGATGTGTGAACTCTCGGACCTGCGGTGAACGAAGGGCCCTTCGTTCTTGGAAACTGGATACAATCCTTCAGCAGAGGCAGCCAGCCTTCTCCCGGGAGGTGCCTTCCTTTGTGTGCTGACTCTGGCCAGAGGCTGCCGTGAGGACAGCGAGGCCGAGGGAGGTCATGGCACGTGTTTCCCCCCGGAGCGCCAGATTTCCGCCGCCAGGCCGTGCAGTGCCTCCCTCCACAACTGCGGAGAGGGCTTGGTCGGAATTCGAGGTTAAACGTGGAAACATTTCCTTCACTAATGACTGTGCTGTGGAGGGGAGTTGTGGGCAGGGAAGGCAGTTGTG